ATCAGCGACAAATTCAATATATATGGACTTCTTTTCACAGCTTAAGACAACCATCCTAACAGGTAAAGCGTTTATCAACAAATATTGTTCAATAATTACGGATTCACAAATGATATGTGTTATAACAGCTTGAGGTGGCTTTTGAACCAATTGTTTAAATAAGAGACGAGCAAAATCTGTGTGTAAAGGGCTGAACCATTTTGATATACAAATATGTCCACTGCATGAACTAAAAACAATAAACCACTAATTAACTTTTGGTTTTGGCAACCTTTAAAATCGGGGACTTGAATAATATACTTACATAAGTGTATGTGAATTAGATATTATTAAGTCTCTAAGGCTTTTCTGGGTGAATTAAAATCATCATTTTTAACGTCTCCAAATCCTTTATTTGTCTGTTAATTTCCTTCAAACTCATATCTGTAAAAACACAATTTTCTGAAAATGTCAAATTGAAGAAAATGTATAAATACAACATAAATTTATGAATTATGTTAAATTAATTTTACAGTACCTATCCATTTTCCGCTGCTCTTCGTTCGGTCGGCGAGTAAGTCAGTGAGAGTTGAGAGAGTAAGTGATGCTTGCGAATGCGACCAGACGAAAATGCGGTAGGTATAGACATAATATTATTAAACATATTTAATATATTATATTCTCGTTATGTCGATGGTTTACACTAAAAAGTAACAATTTAGAAGGATAATTAAAATAAATTGTATTATCTAGCGCACGGCCGACATCGTTATCATTATCAGTTATCACCGCGATTTTATTATCACTTTCTTTTCAAAATAATATAGCATTCCTTTTCCCATCGAGATGTATCCCGATGCCTTTTCCTTGCCTCATTTCCAACCAAGTTGCATAATATTATTATTGTAAGTCCGTTCTAAGTATAATTGGGTATAACTCGTATAACATGCTACCTACCGCTACTTCGTCAGTGTGGTATGCTACCTACCGTAAAATTATACCTACCTACCAAAAAAAAAACGTTTACCGATTATTGATCAACAGGGCTCGTAAGTTCATGCCCTAAAAAATGCCTAAATAAGCATGCATTTATGCACTTAAAATTGGCAAAATAAGCTTTGAAATATGCCTTAAAAAGTTAAAAATATATGCATTTATATGCACTAAATACCTATCTCAAATTATGCACTTAAAAATGCTTACTTAAAATTTTTTTATTCATATTTAATAATTTTTTTATCTTTGAAATAACATGAATTATCCATTCATTTTTTTATAGCTATATTTTATTATTTTTATGTGATTTTTATTCATTAAATGATCAATAACAAATTAACAACGATATTAATTACAATTTATTAATACGCATTGTCAAATAGGTACTTTATAATATTTCTCGGTGCGAGTCATTTGGTAGAAGGACATTTGGTCGAAGGTTTAGTGATCGAAAAAAAGCGATCGAAATGTCATGTGATCGAATCTTTTTTTGGTCGAAAAACAGATGATCGAATATTTTATTAATATAGTCGAAATATTTTGTGGTCGAATGGGTTTTTTGGTCGAAGTAAAGATAATGTATATCTTTTCGATTACTTTATCTAGTATTTTTATAGATGTACCTAGCCCATATGAAGGTATATCGTATAGTAGGTACTTAGTGTTTAACGACTGTTCAACGTGTACGGTGTACCTACCAATAGTGTTTATCATCTGTTCAATATACGTTGGTATTTTATACATATTTTTGCAACAACAGTTAATTTTTTTTTATTATATATAAATATGGATATTGATATTGTACCTAGCATCCATGGAGGAATATTATTAAATATAAATAATTTCATATATAAAAAAAACAAAGATTTATTATGCTGATCCGGGTTTATAAGATTTATTAGAGTATTTAAAAGGAATAGCTCAAAATTTAAACTTTTAATTACTCATCATATTATATTATTTACTAATACTTATAAGTTATACTAGTATCTATACCTATCAATTATTTTAATATTTTACTACAACATTTTTTTACATTATAATACCTACTTTAGTTAATTTTTAATTTACTTGTATGTAATATATATTTGTCGATCATAACATATTAAAATTTTTAAATTTTAAATTTTAATTACTTACTATATTATATTATTTATACCAATACTTATAAGTTATACTAGTATCTAGAACTACCAATTATTTCAATATTTTATAACTACTTTTTTCTACGTTATAATACCTACTTAAATTGATTTTATATTATAATTTATGTTTTTTTTTTTAAATAATTAACACAAAATATATATTTTTCGAACATGACATATTTCGATTACATAACATTTCGATCATTTGCATTTTCGATATTATATTTTTCGATCAAAAAAGTGTTCGACCAGATACCTTTTCGATCACTTTTCTGTGAAAATTAGAATTTCGGCCAACTATTTTCATTTTTGAACCACTGTGCGTCGTCCGTCTCGACCATTATTGTGTTCATCCGGCCCTCCGCCTGGATAATCCGATCGCACACGTGAACTATACACGGAACAATAATAATAATAATAATAATATTCATCAAAAGTCAATATAATAGACTTGATAGTGACTTATATAACATAAAATGCTAGGGAAATGTGTAAGGGAAATATAGTAGCCTGCAGCGCCATGGTCGTGGAGCGAGTTAAGTAAAAAAAAAAAATAACTATGACCGTGTGTGTAGGTATGTTATATCGAAGCAGGAGTTGCCTATTTAAATAACTGTGTAAAATATGGGTAAATTTGTTATACGACATAACTAATTTTCTAATGCATCAATTAACTCCTAGTAAACTCCAAAACATCAGAAATATTGTGTAGAATGTGTGCTTTTGTAAAAATCATAAAAATCGTACTTTTAGAAATTAAGTTATAAATGAAAAAGTTTGAACTTTTTAATCGAAATTTATATTAAATTATATAATTTTATAATTTATATTAAAAAATATTACCGTTCTTATACCTAGATCATTGTTTAAATACTCAATATTTACCCAGTATTTACACAAACAATATTGTTGTCCGTACTTTACGCCGTAATTTGTACAATATACTATATGTAATATATAGATAAAAATATAGATACATTATCATTATTTGCATTGATGATAAAAATTAGTGATATCTCAACAAAAACTCTTCGTAAACTACGTAAAATAAATATGAGATCATATCATGAAAAAATGCTAAGTATATTGAATTTAAGTAAACTTTTGTACTTCAATAATGTATTTACTTGGCTAGGAATTATTTTGAATAGTACATAAATATTAATAATAATATTTTTTAAATAATAATAAGTGATATTTTAATAGTCATTCGCTATTTATTTATTTTGTTCATCACACTTTGTTTCTTTTAAGAAGTAATGCCTCGCCAAGTAAATAAATTATTGAAACACATTAAGTTTACTTAAATTCAATATACTTAGCATTTATTAATGATATCACATCTTTATAGTTATATAAAGATCTTATGTTTTTTTTTACTTGGCAATTTTTACACGCAGTTTACGAAGGGTTTTTGTTGAGATTTTATTATAAGGGATCAGTTGAATTTTAATTCTTACGAACTCGAACTCAATTTTTTTGAAATGAATGTGATACTAATTTCTTAAAACTTTTAAACAATAATATTTCGCTTGAACTATCGAGATGTTCAAATTCAAATTTATTTTCCCCGAATATCAACAGATTGAACTTTGAGCTTTATAAGTTCAAGGGTTCATAGAATCCGGGGACCCATGCCTATACATTTTAGATTCCGAGTGAAACGATGAATGTATTGATTTTACAATGATGTGTGTGTTTTTTTTTTTATTTATTTATTTATTTTTTTTTGTGTCTGTCATCACGTTTTATGACAGTAAAAGTGCTTGGATTTTCTTCAACAGTAGCTTTTCTGATAGGAAAGTGAATCTAGTTGGTACTTTGGGTGGTCAAATGTGTTGGCAAGGTTTTAAAATGTAATACAAGATTCCTTATAATATTATCTAAATTTATCAAAAAAAAATGTCTATAAGAAAGTCAAATTAAATTTTTATGAGCATTTGAAATTCAAATTTTTACAACATTGGATATTCACTCGATTTCTCATGTAGCGATTTCCTTATTTTATTGTAAATCAAAAACGAATAACTGTAGATACATGAAAATTTCACTGAATGTTTATATCAGCATTTCCTATACACCATACAATTTTGAAAATATTTTGACTCTTTTTGAGCTGCTTACGGACATTTTCAGTTTTAATTTTTTTTAGTTTTTTTTTCTATAAATATCAATTAAGTTCAATCTGTTTTGCCAAAAAGTGTAAACATTTAATACCATGCTCCTGATATATTGTTACAATATCAGTTGAAATTAAGTAAAAATATATAGGCTCAATTTTTTTTTATTCGAATTAAAAGATCGAATTTTGACAAAATTTATCAAATTTAAAATTGAATAATTGTTTTATAGTTAAAAATTTATAAAATGTTCAACCTTTATATCTAAGGATTGAAAATTTAAAAAAAGAGTCCACGTACCTAAATAGTTCATACTGTAACCAAGAAATCTAAAAAATTATATGAACACAGTTATTTTTTACAGACATTTTAAATTCAAATTTGGACAAAATTACATATTAAAAAACCTAGAATAACTATTTTAGTTATTTTGTTGCGATTGAATAATATTATTCGTGGGTACTTGAAACTTCTAAAGTGTACTATTATATATCTATGATAGTATCACGGTTTTTGTTGATGTATAACGCGTTATAAGTACCTAATGGATATTGTGATATGATTAATTTGGAATTTATTATAGGTACCTATTATAGGTCAAATTTTGGTTTAGTAGGTACCATAGATATGTATATAATATGTCTTATACCTAGACTGACATATCGTCTCCGCTCAGAATCGTTTTTCTTATACAATGATATTATATCGTTGAATTCAAATTTAATATCATCCATTATACAGTGACCCTTTTTTTATAATATCATAATATTATAGTATGATATAGTATACTTAAAACGTCTGTTACGAACGGCACTTGGTCTTCGGACACGGTCGTGCTCGGCGGAACATCGTCATCATCGTCGTCTTCGTCATGGTCGTAGGGGCGGTGGCAGTGGTGCCGGACATATTCGAGTGTGGGATGCTGGGCCAGGTTGAGACGTCCGTCCAGGCCCGAAAACGTCCAACCGGAAGCGGATACCGGATGGTCTAAACAAGCTATCAGTGAGTAGCAAAGGCCGCCGTACACACGGCCTATGTCCATCAGGGTCAAGGAGAAACCGTCGTCTGTGTCGCTGGACGACAGTAACATCCGGCCGGTGTACCAGCGGTGTACCGCGCGGGCGCCAGTGGCCGCGCCGAGAATACGGGTCACCTCGGCCACGATGGCCATGAATCGCGCGTCGGACATGCAAGCCCGGATTAAGGGGGGGTCCAGGGGGGGCATGGCCCCCGGGCCTCGATTTATTTAGGGGCCTCAGATTTGCCCATTATAGACTATAACTCCGCATAAATCACTTAGAAAAATCGATGATTATTTAGCGAGGAAAAAAGCTTGTAAATTATAATTTATAAATAAAATGATACTTTATTCTTGATTTATTGCTATGTACCTAATACCTATATATATTTATTATAACAGGTACCTATATATTAATATACATTATTTTTTTTTTTCGTACAGGGGCCTCATTTAAAACTTTGGCCCCTGGGCCTCAAAATGTCTTAATCAGGGCTTGCGGACATGCCACCCATGTTGTTGACCATGGCCACGATGTCGGCATCCCACCAACGTCGCATGATGTGCTGGTCATCGTCTGTCAGTAGGCTCAGCGTGACAGACACCATCGTCCTGATATCCATCGTCCGCACGGTTCGGACCTCGTTCCTGCCGTCTGAGTCAGTGCCCAGCAACAGCATGTTTCTTCACTCCTGCCAAAATCGTCAGACTTATGAACTTCGACTTGTTTGTGTGGTGGTTATAATATTATATCGACGTGGAAGCAAATTTGTAACCGCACAGGTTATATATTTTTCAGTCATCATTGATACAAAATATATCTATGATTATATCTTCTCGGAGTCACGTGGGTAGGTAATTTTAAACAGTACACTTATTACAATTTATAAACATGCGAGAATGATATGATGTGGTCTACGGACATTTTTTTTTTACCATGCCAACTCTTGTACGAATTGATAATTGGCTTAGTACAATCTATTATGCTTTACTGTAAGTTAGTTACATGAACAACAACAAAAAAAAAAATTAAATAATCAGTAGATAGTACAAATTATAACGTGGAAAATTATTAACGGTTGATATAATTATAATGTAGAATGATCTAGCTATATAAATGAATGAATATTATTATTTCAACTATTAAGGTATAAAAGAATAATGTAATGTTCTTTATGGTTATACCTATATTATTGATTAAAATTAGAGATACATTGATTATTGTATTGATACTGTTACTACCATCTAATATATTTTACGACCTCAATTATAATAATATAGTGTATTATTAGTGACTAGTGTAACTAAACAAATTTTACATCTACTAGCATTTTATACATTTTATCTCTGCAGACAAGAAAGCCAAACGCCAAACATTAGCGTATAGTGTGTCATACTCACTCATACTATTCCAACAATTTTTTTTTAAATATTTAGCAGACAATTTTTAATTTATCTACGGTAAGTCAGCGAAAATATTATAATGTTTGAGAAGATTAATAATAGTAAGCACATATTATAATTAGTGTTTTATTGTAAGTTTTTTGGCGAATCAATTCACTTTGTACTGTCTGTGTTGTTGTCGGTTTTTGAGTATATACAAACGATCGGGATGGCCTGGTCTTCGGGCAATAAGGTGTTAAAGTTGAACATAATTTTTATTTTTATTATTTGCTCTCAAGATGGCTGGGACTTGACTTTTTTAATGAGCTCAGTGTAGGCAATATAATATTATAATGTGTGTGGTAGTGTGCATACTTGAGGGCCATTTTGGTATGCGCGGAATAAACATGAAGTGCGCAAGTGTGCTATCCTATACTCAGATGTATTACTGAATACCTATTAATAATGGTGGTCATCTGAAAAATTGATTTCATTAATTTTATTAATTTTAAGCAAATCCATTTGTTTAAAAAAGTACTCCGCGGCCATTAATTGCACCAGACCAAACCGACCACATAGCCCCTTGTCCCTATGATTGCACTTAACTTTTCTTCCATCCCGTGTGACGTAAATTCCTTATTTTCAGTGGAGTTGTCATGCATAAGATTGCCTATTGTCACGAATCCAGGCATGTAGGTTGAATCACCTACCTACCAATTTAACAGGCGCAAAATTTGGCACAAACATGTCGTTGAGACCATAAAATTTGTTCTTTTGTTTATTAATGGTTATTATTGGTTACCGGCTTACAGATTATAATAGTAATAGGAGAAATAATTAGTAGAATTCAGTATTTTTGTTGTATATTATAAATGGTTGCCATTGGTTATACTAGGGCAGATGAGGTAAAAGCATGCATTAAAAAATCGTCACGTTTATGGTTTATGTAATAAAGTAATTATATCTTACAAAATTTTAGAGTTGAATACTTGAATGTATATTTGTAGCTTATAATATTAAAAATACTCAAAACCGATTTTGTGAACATTTAAATTTGTTATTGGAAACATCAGGAACGTTTAGAGAGTAGTTTTAGTTGATTTATACCAACTACCAAGTAGTACCAAGCTATATCCAATTCATTATAAGCATATTATGATCAATCTCAGACTTCAGTAGAATTAGATCACAAAGTTAAGTACACTGACCCAATTTTTCCGGTGAATTGTGGTTCACTAAAACAAAGGTATACCTATATAGGCTATATTTGGTAATTTTTATTTTTTTATAGTCAGGTTATACAGTTATATTGGATGTTATTTGAAGTTAATAGTCTAAAACACTACTGGACAGTTTACAATATAAGTTATATAAATAGATCCTTTGAGACTTGGAGGGTGCTTATAGCTTATTTTGTAAACTCTAGTTCACGAAAAAAGAAATTTTTTTTGTTTATGGTTGACATTGGTTATATTTTATGTTACTATTATAATTATTCGAAGAAGTATGGCATAAACATTTTTTTTATGGCAAAATATCCATCCAAAACATAATTTTATTTTTGAAAGATACTGAACTGTACAATTTAATTTAAGTCATCATTAGATGTAAAAGTAAGCCAATGGTCACGTTATCGAGGCTTTTCTCTTAATAAAAAAAAAAAAAAAAAAACCATTTTTTTACAAATCTATACTATTATATAAAATGGTAAGGGTTTTCTTGCAGGGGCGGACTGGCCAGGGGGGCTAGGGGGAAATATCCCCCTGGGCCGGTCTAAATTGTGAAATTTGGGCCGGTCGTTGAAGAATTAATAGCTGATGCATAGTTTTTACACCCTAGTTGTTTTCAAGAATATTTCATACAATCAATTCATAGAATCAATCTTTTTTATTTTTGTGTCTGTCATCACGTTTAAGAACAGTAAAAGTGCTTGGATTTTCTTCAACAGTAGCTTTTCTGATAGGAAATTGAATCTAATTGGTACTTTGGGGGGGTCAAAAGTAAAAATTTAGTAAACTTTTAGTAGTTTTCACAAGCGCCGGGAAAAACAACATAAAAATTAAGGAAAAACGGGAATTTTTACTCAAAATCGGTTTTCCAAAAAATCTATTTTGGTTTTTGGTGTAACTCTAAAAGAAATGAACGTATATACATGAAATTTTCACTGGCTGTTTATATTTGCATTTTATATACACGATAACATTTTCAAAATATTTTGATTTATTTTGAACTGTTAAGGGACATTTTCATTTTCCATTTTTTTTTAGTTTTTTTTCTAAAAATATCAATAACATTTTATTTGTTGGTTGCGAAAGCTTGAAAATTTAATAGTAGGCTCCTAGTATATTGTTTTAAAGGCAGATGAAAAAAATTAAAAATCCTTAGTCACAATTTTTTTTATAAGCATTTAAAGTTCAAAAATTGACAAAATATGGAAAAATCACGAAAATAACCAAATTATTTTGAGTGAAGATTTCATAAAAATTTTTCTTTTTATATCTAAGATTTGAAAATGTAATACAAGATTCCTTATAAGATAATCTACCTTTATCATAAAAAAAAGGTCTATAAGAAAGTCAAATTAAATTTTTATGAGCGTTTGAAATACAAATTTTTACAACATTGGATATTCACTCGATTTCTCATGTAGTGATTTCCTTATTTTGTTGTAATTCAAAAAATAATAATTGTAAATACATGAAATATTCACCGAATGTTTATATTAGCTATTTCTAAACACCATACAATTTTGAAAATATTTTGACTCTTTTTGAGCTATTTACGGACATTTACCGCTTTCAATTTCTTTTAGTTTTTTTTTTCTATAAATATCAATAAAGTTTTATCTGTTGGGCCAAAGAGTGAAAAAATTTAATACAATTCTCCTGATATATTGTTACAATATCAGTTGAAAAATATTAAAAATACATATGCACAGTTTTTTTTTATAAGCATTTAAAGATCGAATTTTGACAAAATTTATCAAAATCTCGAAAATTATCAATCATTGTAATTAATAAATTATAAAATGTTCAGTTTTTATAGCTAAGGATTGCAAATTTAAAACAAAGGTTCTCATAAATAGTTCATACTGTAACCAAAAAATCTAAAAAATATATGAACACAGTTATTTTTTACAGACATTTTAAATTCAAATTTGGACGAAATCACATATTAAAAAACCTAGAATAACTTACTATTTTACTTATTTTGTTGTGATTGAATAATATTATTCGTGGGTACTTGAAACTTCTAAAGTGTACTATTATATATCTATGATAGTATCACGGTTTTTGTTGATGTATAACGCGTTATAAGTACCTAATGGATATTGTGATATGATTAATTTGGAATTTATTATAGGTACCTTTATAGGTCAAATTTTGGTTTAGTATTATAAATATGTATATAATAATATGTCTTATACCTAGACTGACATACCGTCTCCGCTCAGAATCGTTTTTCTTATACAAGATATTATATCGTTGAATTCAAATTTAATATCATCCATTATACAGTGACCCACTTGTAACCTACCGTACAGCAGAGCGACACCCACTTGCCCACCTTTTTTTTTTTTTTAAATAGTTCTACAAGGAAATAAATTTCTTGGACCGCGCTAACCGAGAAAACTACTGAACCGATTGGGCTGAAATTTTTTTTCTGTTATACTTGATAGTCTGCTGGAGGTCAAAGTACTACTTTTGTTTAGAAAAATCCACCAGAAAAGTAGGAAATATGGATGTCAAAAATACAACAGTGGCGCAGTCTGTCCAGAAAAAAATAAACTAATTAATAAAAAAATGAAAAATAAAGTTTATTGTTGCAGATTAAAATAATAATAGTGTATTATAATATATATTGGTTGCTATGTTATTGTTATTTATTTATTTATATTTATTCATTTATATCGGGCATGTTTGTTGATTTGAGTTATTGACGCTTAGTGACGCCCATTACGAGCATATTTTGTGCTTACTTTTTGATTACTCTTATGAGTTAAATTTCGGGTAAGTGGATGATAATTCATCATCATGCTGAGAACCCCAAGAGCACCCATTGGAAGAAGAACTGCCATTGCAACTCGAATGTATAACAGAAAGCAACAAGATAACACACCAGAACGTTCTCAATCACTTGCTTTGAGTATGAAATCAGCGTTTAATTATCAATCCGAGATTTATATATTTTATATTTTATTTATAGGTCTGGAGTCTAGACGTATGAAAAAATTAATCCTGCAGATTACACACTCACTAGCAACTAGGTACCTATATAGGCATTAGGCAGTATAAAGCTGTGGGGCTTACATCACATGGCGTATCGTGTCATGTTCCATATGTAGGCAACAAAATTGTAGTAACTCTATATTATACACAACTCTACATGACACGATGAAGTGAGATACGGACAATGGAAATAATTCACTCGAGTCGTGACAATGGACTTAAGTTGTGATATAATTTTATGCAAATACAAAAATATTATATACACACTCGGTGCTGGTGTCTTCGCCTATCGTCCGCTTTCTTAAACTAATCACTGCGTTTACGGTGGCTACACGCTCCGTGGACAGGCGCTGACATACGACAAAAATCTTTGTCAGGCTGTGGCCGCCATTGCTCCAGCGATTTTGCATATAAACACTATGCCCGCAGAACCACGTCTCCGGCCACCATCCGTCGACCGACTTCGGATAACGTCATCAGTGAAATATTATTATTAATTAAAATGAAATTTAATAAAAAAAATATTTATCTAACTATCTAATTACTAATTATTATGGTTACAATTAATAATGACATGCATTTTTAAATTTTCGAATTCGAAAGATCGCCGATTATGTCGTAAAATTGATTTATATCGACTGAAAGATCTCTCAACTTCGACTGATGTTATAGGACAATATTGCATGTTGACTATGTCTGAAGGAGAAAGTTCTACATCCAATGAAGCTTCAGACGAAATACCAGTCAGAATATTCTTAATAGCTTTCATTTCTGCTAGACCGGAATTTTTTTGTAGTACATCTTTAACTTTAGAGTTTACAATATCGCCAATTGGACCTTGAACTTTTTCAAGTCTTTTTACCGCTTCCTCTACTACACTTAAACTTTCTACTAAATTTAAGTCTCGAGTTTCTAATTTCGTAATGACATCAACCAAAAAATAATAATTAACAGAAATGTTTATTAATTCATTTTTTAAATCATTATTTTCTAAAAGAATTTCAGCTTTTTCAATATGCATTGAAGTAGTTGCATCGAGTTCAGCAACAACATTTTTGATTTCTTGGAAGTTTTGGCAATAATAATTAGCGGCATTCAACCAAGTGCCCCATCTAGTTACAATTGGTTGTGGAGGAAGGCTTAGATCTGGGTACATATTTTTAAATATTTCGACACGGCTGGGAGCTTTTAGAAATATCTTTTTGACTGCAGATATTAACTCATCAACTTTTGTAAATTTTGATCTTATAGTTTCTGCTATTCGGTGAAATACGTGTGCTAAACACGTTAAGTGAATCATTTTTGGAAAAAAAGCATTTAATGCTTTACCGGCTTTTACCATGTATGGCGCGGCATCAGATACAAATAATAATACATTCTCGTGCATAACTATATCGGGCCATACGTAATATACTCATAGAATTATTAAAAAAATCTTGCAACAGTTTGGTGGTTGCATTTATGCAAGTTTTAGATGATCGTACTTTCGGCATTATTGGTCACACGTAAATTAAGACGTTGTTTAATACACTGATTAAAGTATTAAACCCACGAAATTAAATTAACACGGCCCGTTCGTTACTGCAGGTATACTGACTCACTGTCAATTGTCAGTACTTCAAACGCAGACGCGTTTTAATAACTCGTTATCTTTATGAGGTCATAAATATCAAACATATATCGACAGTAGATTAGATTAAGTTTAAAAATTGGTATTATTTTGTATTTTTGGAAACATGGGCAAGTCTGTATTAATAAATAATAAATCGTAAATGAACAAATTGTCGAAATATGTAGGAAAAATGGAATTATTGAGAAGTATGTAAAAACATGTACTTATGGCAAAATATGTAAAAATATGTAAAATAAAATATAGTTCATTTTATTGGAAATCCCTTGAAACGAATTTATCACTTACCTAAATTAATTTATCAAGTCACAGTAAAAATATGTATTTACATATAAATCCGAGCCCTAGACTCATCACCGATCACCAATAGCTAAAAAAAAGAAGGATCGATTTCATTCGTTTTTCAAACTAATTATTTATTATTCGTAAAAAAAATGTTTAACAGAAAGATTTTATTATTTCATTGTTTTTATTTTTTTTTATTTTCCAAGAAGATAATGGGCCCCCGCTGAACATTTCTGTGTTATGTGATGACCAAATGTAGAAAAATAATCAAAATCATTTCAAAAATATCCATGTGTTTTTGAAAATCTACGTGTATTGCTTAGAATCTAGATGTAACTCTTACAGTGGCGTATATATTTCTTATGAGTGATGGCCGATGAGGTATATTAAAGAAATGTTTGTGTATATACGTTCTACAAAAACATTTTCAGTTTTATATATTGTGAAAAATAAGTGTTGAGTGGGCACGTATAGTCTGTAAATATACCTATATATAGTAGGTCGAAGCCCGGATTAAATATGGGGCCCCTTAAATAATAATTTTTAAAATACTCAATTATATTTAGATTTTAGATGTCATATGCTTAATATAATTTATATGATTCTAATAAAATCATAAACATTGTATTAAAAATGCTATTTGATATAACTGTAATCTGGCACGGGGTGGGCCCCGAGGACGTGTCCCCCTTAATCCGGATATGAGTGGTAATATCGTTTACTTTGACAATAATGTCCTGAGTACGGGCCTTTTGGGCTGCGATGCCATAGTTGAGGATGGCCGCCGTCTCGCTGGACCCAAGCACCAGTACCCCACAGCGGTCGTCCAACTTCCGGATGGCCGTCAGCACGTGGCCGGCGTTTGGATGTCGACCAGGGTCGACGTGGGGTAATGGCCACCACAGTGACTGGCCATCACTTTCACGCGGCTTTTTCCGGAAGGCATGGACTGATGTCCACGCCAGTAAACCGTGTTTCCGTCCAACAGGACCAGCTGTCGACCGTGACCGTCCGTCCGGACAAGTCCTTCGAGGCAAGCTGTAGTTGTGAAACTTTGGTCGCTGTATTAGTATAACAAAGACAATCAGTGGCGCCGAACCCATCATGTATTAGGTGTGGGCGTGTGGCAGCCGCCACACCTATTTTAAGGGGTGGATGTACAACCAAAATTGGTGGATAATCGTAATCCTAAGTGCAAAAAGATATTGTACAAATATAAGAAAGATGACTTCCTATAGTGTGTCGCAGCGTGCAGTGTGTACTGTGTGATAACATTAGAAATAGCCAATAACTAATAATTTAATTGATAGTTTTACCATTAAAACATAAATTCTTGTATTTATAATCAATAGTATTGTGTAAAAAGTTAAAATATCTGATAATACAGTACATTTAGTTTTTTTATTTTACAAGTGATAAAACAATTAGTACATATCAACTGAAATAGCGTGGGTTATGGCCCTCCGGCACACATGAAAAATTTTATTTTACAACGGTTTGTGTTTTTATATTTTATTTTTATTTTATGTCTGCAATCACCTATTATGACAGTAAAAATGGTTCAAATTTCTACTTCAGCATCTTTTCTGATAGGAAAGTGAATCAAGTTGATACTTTGTTGAGTCAAAAATCAAAAGTAAAAAAGTTCCCAGTAATTTTCAAAAGCGTCGTGAAAAACAAAAAAAAAAAAATTAACAAATATAAAAGTAATTTTTACACAAAAACAGTTATCGACAAAATCGATTGTGTTTTTCTGTTGTAACTCAAAAATGAATAACCGTAAAAACTTTATATTTTAACAAAATTTTTATATAATATAAATAATTTCCTCTCTCGGTCAAGTTGAACATAGATCCACAATATATTATTTTCAATATGGGGCTAAAGTTGAAACTTAAACAAAATTCATTTAAAATTGAGAAAATTAAAAAATTTTCGACAGTCTACCAAAGAAAAGTTAAAAGAAAACCTTACCAGAAAGTCACATTAATTTATGTTGAGACTTAACTAGATAAATGTATGTATAAAATGTATGCTGTATGATGTCAAAAAATCATTGTTGGTAAAATAAATGTTACCCCCTCTCGAATAAGTAATTGGGGCAACACTGAAAACTATATACCACGGTCTTTACAAAACATAAACGCTAGGTTATCTACATCGTGGGCAACATCTTATATTCATATTATAACCTCCCTGCTTGACGAGCAAACAATTTTCTTTCATGAAATTGTAGTAGTAATTTTAGTAGAATAGTCTGGTTGTTGCATAGAATATCCCTGCATAGTGCATTACCTTTGTCGACTTGTCGTTGAAATTGATCACTTCCAGCCCTTGCCACACAATAAACTATTGTATATACCTACTTTACAAGTAATACCTGAAGTATCTTCAATGACGTTATATAGGTACCTACCTATTATTATTATTATTATTATTTTTTTTTTTTATTAATTAACCCGCGGCAACTATTAGGCCATTGAGTGGTTTTTACTGTGGGGGAGGGTACTGTAAGTTTTAAACACGTGTGTTTTTTTGCTTTTGGCAGATTTTTTAGTGGGCAGCCGTAGGTATCTGCCATGCCTGGGTGGGGGATGGTGGCACTTTTCTCCGGACACCGTGACTTGCCCGAAGAAAAATACCACCCGCGGCCGGCATCGAACCGGCGCCAGTGTGCGTCGCAACCGAGGACTTAATCCGCTCGGCCACTCCGTCCCTCATTATTATTATTATGATATTATTATGACGTATAAACAGTAAACACTACGTCACATATAACATTGATATTATGCCGTGTTGGCTAGTATTGATATTTGTTGACGACGATTGTGCCTATACACTGTTTAATCGAATAGAATTAGTTTATTTATAATATTGTGAAATTTGGACAGTGAAATTGTTTCCAAGAAACATTTAACTTTTTTTAAGTTTGGTATTTATATAATATAGTGTTTAAATCATCGTAAAGTAAAGGAAAGTAATGTTTTCAATTAATTGAATTATTTTTCCTCGTCTTAAAATAGCTGCCAACACAGTACTTAGAGTGCTAAGTTTCACTCGTGAAGTGATATTCCGTCAACCAATTAAGATGTGACTGCAGGTCGTAGTTTAGATTGCATTAATTAAAATTAATTATACAATTATAGGTGTACTTAGGATAGATCTGATAAGCCAGATTTATTCAAAAACAGCTTTTAGTTAAATAATTTATCAGCGAAAGGCCCATCAGCCATGGGCTCGTTATATTATATGTTTATAATGTATACGAGCATAGGCGGAAATGGGGGGGGGCTCTTCTAGTTCTTAGCTATAAACATTGAACATTATATACATTTTTAAATACAAAATAATTTGATAATGTTCGCGATTATGATGGATTTCGTCAAAATTTGAATTTAAAATGCTCATAAAAAAATGTGTGCCTTTAATTTTTATATGTTTATTACTTTTGAACTTCTAATATGAAATGACTTATGGTCTATGGGTAAATTTTCAAGTTTTTTGATTCAGCAATCCTTTCATTATCATTTTTTGATACATTTTATATTTTTTAATTATTATAATAGGTAGGTACATACTATTCGTATACCTTTATCAAATTTCTAATAGATCTATATATATTTTAGGTTTTCTTAAAATGTTTAGCAATGAAAAAATACCTAATAACCATTACACATTTGATCCCTAACGATTATTAGGTAATAATTGAACATAAATGGACATATTTAGTTTTCTTTTTTTTTTCATATAATATACTGTCACACTCTGTATAGTAGATACGTTATAAGAATATACATAATTATTAATTTGAATGTTTACATTAAAATTTGTATTTGACTATAATCCATTGATCCTATACCTAGTTTATTATTTCTATGATTAATTAATAGTTAGGTTAACTGTTTAAGTCTTGCTAATACCAAATAACATAACGTAACTAGTCTAACATATTTTAACTATATTTCCGAAACCTTGATTTTCTAAAATATACAAGTATCTATATTAATAAAGCCTTTCAAAATAACCTTTTAAATATGACGGTCAAGTAATTTTAATATTTGATTTTATCGATGTGGCAACGATCAACAAATTATTAAATTTACACTAATCTGTATATACCATTATTATATATTTTACTACTCAGTACTATTGCTATATTAAGGATTGTAATATTGTATACAATTTGTTTATACGTCAAATGTTATGTTATATAATACATTTGCAAGAATTTAAACTGGTAAATATAATATAAACATATAATAATCATATACAATTTAACGTGGATGGTATTAGAGTTCATTGAATGGTGACATGGTGAATCGCGGTGATTGGACGCAGTCATAATATAATGTGTGCAGAGGTCGAGCAGGCTCCCGGATGGGTGACCACCAGGGTTCTTTGCGACGATCTATCTGCCTCGCATAATAAACACGTACCAACCGTAGCCGCCTCACAAACCGAATGGAGTGTCATAAAAACGAAGTTCATTTTATGATTTATTTTTGAGCTTCTCGCATGACATAGTGAGTTAAAAAGAATGGTGTGGAATATTGTCCACAGTAAAAACTAGCTAATAACAAAGTATTTTGAAGTCTTAAAAACAATGATACTTTAACCTCCTATAGTTATTTACCCAAGGACTTCTCAATTGGCTGCGATGAAAATTGTGTTTGCATCTTTTTATCTGCTAGTCAGCAATGTCAAAAAAAATAAAACACTATATGTTTCTTTAAATTTAAATAGTATTCGTTATAAATGTAGTGAAATGTATAATAGTATAATAATTTGAGATTAATTGATATTTTTTTCTCAAATTAAATCTAAATTGACAATAGCAATGAACACATATTTAAATTATTAAAAAAATAACCGTCTAGTTTAAGTCGTGATAAAATGTATTTGTTGTAATTTGTAGGATGATTTAAATCGGTGGTGGGTTGTTGGTAGTTGTTACTTGTTGGTTGACATCCCACCGCTTGATGCCCGATGCCAATTCTATTATTATTATACAGACAGTATCCATTATAATATAAATATTGATATACTTCAGAGTTTAAATTTTAGGGTCAGATTATCTAAACAAAATACAAACGAGTCAACGCGACTAGTAACTGTCCTTGTAATTCTCTTGTGTTCTTGTAACCTATCCAATATTTGTTTTATAATATATTTTAATTTATTACTGGATAACATTTTAAGATATTTTATTTTAAAAATCTTTATCTAGGTAGATATTATTTTAGTGATCTATTCCCAACACTGGAATCATTTCGCTTAAGCATTTGATATTAATTTTTTACGATGGATATTCAACAGTTAGTTAATAATTTCTCCTAAAACCATTTTTGATATTTTGTTGTAATTCAAAAATCAACTATAAATAGATACTTAAATTAGAGACTTTACTTAAATAGAGACGGGTCTAAAAGCTTAAACAATTAATACAAGGTTCCTCATAAGTTGTTATAATAGCAATTTTTAAATAATGAAGATACATTATGTACGATTATTTTTTTTTTTTTGTAAGCATTTTAAGTACAGATTTTTACAAAATTAGTCAATATACCGCGAACATTTGCAAATGTTATTTTATTTAAAAATTTATAAAATGTTCAATTTTTATACCTAAAGATCGGAAATTTAAAACGAGATTTCTCATGAGTGGGTAATACTGTAACCAAAAAATTTAAAAAATATATAAGCACAGTTTTTTTTATAGTAACTTTAAGTTGAAACTTGGACAAAATTAGACGTTTTATAATGCAATATTTTACTATTAGTAAAATGAGTTACTTAAATAGCTGTAAATTGTAATATAAATATAACTTTATAATATCATCTAGATAGCTATACAGGGCCGGATCTTAGCTTTTTAACACCCGGGGAAAATTAAAAAAATACTCCCATCTCAGGGAGATGACTAGAATTAGGATTTTTTTTACGAAAAATCAAGCACACTCACAGTATTGTGAGGAACTGAGGATCAATATTTACAAAATCTTTCGCAATATACTGGACCAATAATTTACTTACCACAAATAATTTAAACGATTTTAACTTAAAAATGAAATATTTTAAATTTTAAACTAATCAAGTAGTATAGTTTTAGAAGCACTTCTTAATGGTGTATTTAAAGCTAAAACCTGTGGTCAATATTTTTAAGTTTCAGGTTTAGAATAAATAATATTGATAATAATAACATGTATAAACTATTTATTAACAAATCTAAATTAGGTATCCATTGTTTAGGTACTTTTAATATAAAACGCTTTGTGTAAAAGAACAATATTTAATTTACAACATAACAATATTATACATTTTTCATTTTGAATATTTGTTACAATCAAAACTTAATATGTACCTTGGCACGGAACAAATACAATGAAACAAAAATGTAATTATATGTACTGAAAATTCAAAATTGTAATACAATGATTATAACACGATAAATAAATTTACTTTATCATGGATTATCACTTATGGATTGAATGTACCTATATACTAAAATAACTACATTCTACTTTTTATAAATTTCCAAAATAATAAGAACCCGGTTGTCTATTTTACATCTTGAAATAATAAAAAATTAAAATGTTCGTAATTATTTTTAACGTACTTTATAATGTACGTTTCTCCGTTTTCCGCGATGGAATGCATTTTTATTAAAGGTTGAGACATAAGATTCCTTAATGTACCTATTATTGAATAGTGTCAGTTGGAACTTAGATTTATGGAAAGTTGGGATCGAACTAAATCCTTTTAACTACAAATTAAAATTGGATAATTTTTTGGATACAAATAATAAAAATAAAAATTTTCGTAATTATTTTTAACGTACTTTATAATGTACGTTTCTCCGTTTTCCGCGATGGACTGCATTTTTATTAAAGGTTGAGACATAAGATTCCTTAATGTACCTATTATTGAATAGTGTCAGTTGGAACTTAGATTTATGGAAAGTTGTGATCGAACTAAATCCTTTTAACTACAAATTAAAATTGAAATTAAAGCAGAAAAACCATGGAAACATAAATCAAGAAGGTGCATGTACTGATAAACTAGAATTGTATCGACAACAATTAGTGTTATATTATATTTTGCTTAAAGTAACAATAAAATATTGAAAATATATAGACACATTTTTTTCGACAAAATTAGTCAAACCACAAATTCGCTAATAATATATTTTTTAAATATATTACATTTTTAATATAGTATAATACTACCTACCTGATTCTGTGCACTTCGTTGCCCGTTCAAAATATTATCTATATTATCTATAATATCTATATTATTCAAAATTTGTGTTGAATTTGTGATCATTTAATACCTGACGTGGTGATGTTCATAATTTCCAGTGATAAATTTCCGTCTTAATCTTCATTCAAGATTTTTAACACAGTAATAACAGTGGATAGTGGGTAGTAGTCACACTAATTTTTATGGTTTTAACCAAGTATAAAATACAGGTCTAAAATTATCATCAATTATAATATCTATTTTATTTTTTGTAGCCAGTAGCAATCCTATAATTAACAAAAATGTATTATTATTATTATTTCAATTAAAATTCTCAAATTTGCAATAAAAAAAATTAAGGGCCCATCATCGAGATAAAATATAGCCCATAGATCCTTTTGATAGTGTAGCTTTCTGATAGTAATTTTTTTTTAAATCGCGGTTAAAATATGCATTTATATATTTTTTACAAATATATTTATCCAAAATACAAATCTATGGCACGGGTAACTACAGGCGGAACAGCTAGTAATAGTTTAAATCACTATTATGATATTAGTTGATTCATATCGCGGATTCAATTTTGATTTTTTCAACGTTGAGGCAAATACCCCTTTCAGGTAGGTACCCAGGCACGTAGCCAGGATTTTATTTTTTTTTTTGGGGGGGGGGGGGTCGAAATAAATGTTAGTTCAATTTTTATATAATTATTTAAATAATTGTTATTAATTTTAGTCTGGAGTTTGTCTCGCAAAGTCGCACTCAATACTCATGTATGATTAATATCTCATGAAACTATGAAACCCAATAGTCAATACGAGATTTCCGATAACATGTACAAATATCAAATGTCTGCGATAATATTGTTCGATAATAATTGACGTTAAACGACGTTGTTGACGTGACAGTGTGTCGTCCGTCGGGTCTCCGCGATATAATTCGACCCATAGATAATATTAATATTCGACCGTTTATAGTGGTTTATTTTTGTACCACAATAACATTTTTTTGAATAACACGTATTTCATATTAACTTAAATAATAAGGATAATGATTTTATGTGCCGGTGCAGAAAAATTTCGGCTGGGGGTCCAGACCCCATCGACCCCCCCCCTGGATACGTGCCTGTAGGTACCCAACTTCCTGAATAACGGAATGCCGGATGATCCAAATTTTTATTCGATCAAAAAACGTTGGATAAAAACAAAAAAATTCAGGAATTGGGTAAAGTAGGTCGTTGTGGCTGATCTATCAGCTGTAACATAAACAAATATTTAAAAATTTTAAGTTAAAATAGCCCATGAAAAGGTAATTATTTTATGGTGTGTTTATAATTTTATATTAGCTTGGTTCATTTAGGCAATTTTATTCAATTTCCAATCAACTTCCAAGGACCGATAATTGTATTAAATGTATAGCTGTAATTGGTTTTGTCATTAAAATATGTTTAATTAACAAATAAGTGGCTGAAAGTAATCATTATACCTACTAAACAAATCAATTTCAAAAAAATCGTTTTGCGTTGGACAGATTATGCATGTAATAGGTCAGAAAACCAAGATAAAATTAATTCTATGTGGCCTAGAGGATGGGTTGGTATATTTAGTATTTAATCAAAGTATGTACACTAACATCGTTTTTTAAAAACTATATTCTACAGCGACATCAATCTATCTGACACCGACACGCAGTGACTAAATATTATGATGAAAAATACAAAACACGAAGAAAAATCAGAAATACCAACGGATTCTTCTTCGGATCGACTAAATCTGAAGGGAGATTGGTTAAACTTCTACTTTTTGATATTACTTTACACTTTCCAAGGTACTACTTCAGGTTTGTCCTACGCTTTTCCCATAATACTTCAAAATACGAAACTTGTAACATATAACGATCAAGTAAGTACATGTTTCAATTCGTATGTTTATCGATTTTTTTTAAAATCATATATTATATAGTGGTTAAAATAAAAATTGAGATGAAGTCTAAATCTTAAGCTATATAGACATCGTGCTAAAAAATATAGGTTCTTGTTTGCGCGAAATAGTTATATATATATTTTTTTTAATTTCACGATTATCTTGTACCTATATCCTAATTGGTTTTACGCATTTCGTAAATATTTTTAACATATAGGTCTGTACTTAATCCATTTTTAGTCTAGAAAAACAGGAAATTTTTTTAAACACAAACATCAAATATTATAATATCAATATTACATGTTAAATTTTATTTTTGATAACAAATGTTGATACGAAATTCAAACGAATAAGCTATTAAATGTATAATGTTCTAAATACTATTAAATATTTTATAAATATTTGTTGGATTAAAATGATGATTGGGTAACTAAAATTTAATTATAACGGCGATTATAATTGGTTGAAATTACTTCCATTATCTTATAGAAATCATGTTGTAATGAATAAATATAAATATTTTGTTATATTATAAATATACAATGACAATTGCAATAATTTAGCTTTAGTAGTAAGGTTTATTAATTCTTTCATAATAAATAGGTATTTAATTGACATGAATGTTTATTATTTTATGTTCTAGGCTATATTAAGTTTTGTACTATGGCCTTTTAGCTTTAAACTCTTATGGGCACCAGTCGTAGACGCATTACATTTTCAGTGGATAGAACGTCGAAAATCATGGTACATTCCTATTCAATTTTTAATCGGTATGTAGTTGATATATTTTAACTCCTAATTACAAATACGAACCCCCGATGGCATGTATATTTGTCACCGTAAATGCCCGATCACTAGGTAAATCTAGGTTCTACTAGTCAATGCTAGGTTTTGCTGTTTGTACTCAGTAAATGCTGAAATTCTAAATTTTATTCGGGCTTTTACCAAACACGTTGTGTACATCTTAGGATATACAAATTGACTTAGTAAAAGCTGATCAATACACGACACCGGACACATAACATTTAAGCTGCGTAAAAATTATAATTATATATTATTAAAACAAACTACTGACAATTATTTAAATTCTTTATACAAAATAAAAATGCATCTTGAGTTGTGATCACACCCCAAACATTTTTGCTTGCAACGATTAATAACAATTATTTTGCGAAGATAAATTTACGACTTCAATGACTCAATGTGTTGCAGGGACTTGCATTTTATCGGGTTTAAGATTAATATGATACAACTTATATCATGATATAACTTAGTAATAGCTGACTGATATCAATTGATTGGTGGCACTAACGGATACTTTATCGCTTAGATGTGGTTTTATTAGGTACATGTTCAGTCTGTTTGGGTTTTACGTGATAGACGGATCCATTTGTAGAACAGTGTAATATGTGTTGTGCGCTTAGTGTTTAATATATTGAATTGTGTTTAATTAATGTAATTTTTTAATTATATTTATTTTCATTGTTAATTTGACTTTAATATGGCTAATATAGAAAGGTTTTATGACGTTTTAAATCCAATAATTAAAATCTAGAGCTGGGACATTCAATCAATTATTCACTAGAAATCAATTTACTTTATGCGAAGAAAAATTTATTTCAATATCCGATGTTCCAAATACAACAACAAGCATACGCCAAGCTGTTGCTCAACTTTCACTATCAGGCGGGCAAGGATTTTTGAGGTGTGATTGCCAGAAAAAATGTACAACTAAAAAATGCAAATGCCGCCAGTCAAATGTATTGTGTTAAAAGCAGGTGCCATAATAGCACAACATGTGCAAATAAATAAAAATTTTAAATAATTATTTCTAACTACCCACCAATTTTACTAATTTTTATGAAGAAAAAAATTTTTTTTATTAATTTTTAATGATTCTGTTTTTAAATGATTTTTATTTTGTATAAAGAATTTAAATAACTGTCAGTAGTTTGTTTGAATAATATATAATTATATAGTTTTTACGTCGCTTAAATGTTATGTGTCGTGTATATTGATCAGCTTTTACTAAGTCAATTTGTATATCCTAGGATGTACACAACATGTTTAGTAAAAGCCCGAATAAAATTTAGAATTTCAGCATTTACTGAGTACAAACAGTAAAACCTAGCATTAACTAGTAAAACCTAGGTTTACCTAGTGATCGGGCATTTACGGTAACATATTAACTGCATACACCGCGTGGCGGCAAGGGACGGTACGTGACTAGAATTTTCTCGCGTGGAGACTGGCACTTATAATATCGAGTTTAGCCTCCTAATGTTTGTTATAATTAACACATTCGAGGCGAGGCGCGTGATACAACTATGTACAACGGAGACGGAACATTTTCGCTCCTTTTTTCCCCCGGAGACGAGCGGTTTTTACCACTTTTCGTACAATTATTATGCTTTCGCATTTCAATCAACTTTTACGATATTTTCACTATATTATAGTAGAAATGTTGTAGTTTTAAAAAAAAAAATAATAATTTCCATAACTTAAATACTTCATATTTTTCTTATCGGTCAAAACACGATCAAAAATGACAAAAAAATGTCGACCAATTAACTTACTATCATCATTACTTATCACGCTCTGTATAAAAATAAAATGTATAAAGCGTCTATTTTGTTTTAGAAATATATCGATAACAAGACAATATTATGACGTATAATACGTAATATGCGTGTCTATATAAATAAAATAATATAAATAAAATAGTATTACCATTTAGGAACGAACTCCGTCAGCAAACTTCGTCGAGCCGACACACGACAGTCCAAGAAAATGAAAAATTATTTTGATAAAATTATTAATTGAAACAACTATTATTAACAGCCAATAGGCGCTTCGAATCAAATTCCAGTGACGCTCCGCATGGAGCAAATAATGTATTCTTTTTATATAAATAAATAAATTAATTTTATATTAATTACAATATTACCTATCGATAGATTGTCATATGAAAACAATGGTGTGAGTATATGATTTTATATCGATTTTTAAAATTCGATAGTAGACACAACGCGCGAGACGCGTGATTCGTCTTTTATAAGTAAAATATCGTAACGCGTCAGATACGTGACTATCGTCTCAAACGTAACTTTTAGATTATGACGGACCGTCTCGAATGTGTTTTAAAACAATTTCCCGCATATACCGCTGTCTGGGCGAAAGCGATACGGTGTTGCGAAAGTAGAGTTGACAAAAAAAAAAAAAAACCTAACGAAAAAACTAACAAAAAAACTGGGAATGGGGCATTGGGTGGACAAAAACCGTTCAAGTCCCCCGGCTATGAATCGAAGACGACCGTTCTACGTTTCCATGAAATACAACATACGACCTGCGTGTGGCCGTGTAAAACGACTAAACAAAAACTAAATTACCAACTTGGTCGAGTTTAACACGTCCAACTTGCACTCTAGAACAGATGATTATATAATATATTTTATGCATTATGTGTGTTTGTGTGTGTGTTTTTACAGCTGCAAACTCACGATACACGAGTATGATATTATAGATGACGTCTTGCTTGTTCCATTTAGCCGTAAAGCTGACGAGTACAGGAAGTAGTAGGCAATGTGTTGGTTGAACATAGTTTAAAAAAAAAACACTTCGTTTAAAATCAAAGCGGGTTTCCCAGGTCGTCGAATTGTTGTAATTTCAAATTGATACGACTCCCGCGACCTAGGGCACGTCTCAGGTTGTTCCTCAGGACTATATTGTAACACTGCACCGTTAAAGTTAGAAATTATTAGTGCAAATGCGATTCTGTTATTTTTCCCAGACGCAATGTCGACGCTGAATTACTTATAATATAATATTATAATATTTTCTAACGACGTAACGCGTTTATTAAAAATAATAACGCGAAATCGGACGGTTTCGAATGGTCGAACCCAAAAGCGGTGCAGCGTTATATCTACCAAAGTTTTCGAGGCACATAACGACAAATAAATCAAAATAATCGCACGGTTATGTTCTTCTTGAAAAAGTTCACTTCAGTTGCCTGTTATAATGGTACAACGCATATTATATTATAGGTACAACGTAGTCGATTCAAAGCGTACTTTTATGTGAGCCATCTAACGACTGTCTTAAAAGGTTTTCGCTTTTTCCCCTTGTATCCGATGTCACTGTCTGAGGTAAATGAAAAAAAAAAATGTTCAGTACACTTGATTATTTCTAATTAAAGTGTTTTACCATAGTCCCTAGCACTGCCCCGTAATATATATTCCGAGACACCTTATTGTTATTGTGAAGTCCGAACGACGGTAGTATTAATAGTATTATATGGATAAAGGTATTATATAAATAATTAGTTTTTAACTGTTTTCGTACCTGAGGTTTGATTAACAACAATTATCGGTCGCCGATAAAACATAATAAACCGTTCACGGGGGAGGTTTGTACTAGGACGCTTTCGGCGATTGCACTTTCCACCGTTTGAACTTTGCAATCGTATAATAGGTATACCTACAAACGAGCACGTAGGAGTTGAACCAAAACAAAACTTCCCTCGAAATCATAACTGCCCTGTATTATAGGTTGTCGTCGTCCTCGTCGTCATGTACAAGTTGCTCGTCGGGTTCAATACGCCGTGTGAAGTCCCACACGTGTGGAGACTTTTTACAGTTTTACCTATCGGGAAACAGAGTGCGAAAAGAAAAGAAATAAAGAACAAGTAAAAAGAAAATCACTGCGACCGACGTGTGTTTTGACACTTTTGAGTTTCGGTCCAAAGTGCCCGTTCGGTAATAAAGACAATGTTCCTCGAGAAAACCATCGGAAAACCGTGCACAGGTGGTGGCGGTGACTATATCTCCCGACACCCGAAGCTCCAAGATACGGGTACCTGATGATGTACATCTCATTATCTTAATGATGCGTTCAAGTCGCGACTCTTTGACGAGTGTTGTACGGGACATAATATCACGAAGTGGGTGTCGCTCTGCTGTACAGTAGGTTACAAGTGGGTCACTGTATAATGGATGCTTTTAAATTTGAATTCAATGATACAATATCATTGTATAAGAAAAACGATTCTGAGCGAAGACGGTATGTCAGTCTAGGTTTAAGACAAATTATATACATATCTATGGTATTAAAAAAAAAATTGACTTATAATAAATTCCAAATTAATCATATCACATTATCACAATATCCATTAGGTACTTATAACATGTTATACATCAACATCAATAACAAACCCTGATACTATCATAGATATATAATAGTACACTTTAGAAGTTTCAAGTAGGTACCCCGTACCCACGAATAATATTATATAATCACAACAAAATAACTAGGTTTTTTAATATGAAATTTCGTCCAAATTTGAACATAAAATGACTATAAAAATAAACTGTGATTGTATATTTTTTAGATTTTTCGGTAAGAGAATTAACTACTTACGTAGAATCTTGTTTTAAATTTTCAATCCTTAGCTATAAAAACTGAACATTTTATAATTTATTAATTACGATGATTAATCATTTTCGAGATTTTGAAAAATTCTGTCAAAATTCGATGTTAAAACGCTTATAAAAAAAAATTGTGCCTATGTATTTTTAATATTTTTCAACTGATATTGTAACAATATATCAGGAGCCTTGTATTAAATTTTTACACTTTTTGGCCCAACAGATAAAACTTAATTGATATTTATAGAAAAAAAAAACTAAAAAAATTGAAAACTGAAAATGTTCGTAAACGGCTCAAAAAGAGTCAAAATATTTTCAAAATTGTATGGTGTATAGGAAATGCTAATATAAA